CACAAGCATCCAATTGAGGCCACACCTCTTGGACAAAGGTATAGGCCATTTTTTTTTAAATTCGAGCTCGGTTTCACGGTTTGTGAAGAAAACTTACAAATCATGCTTGATTAACCGTATGGATGTGTAGAGCTAGGTCAGATCTACGATTTAAAAAAAATTTAATGTAAATCCGTTGAGCATCGAGTGAGATATTGACGTTTGAAGGTGGACGGCTCTCGAGATGAACCAGATGGGGACGATGAACGGATGTCGTCCATTCGCGCGTGTATCAATCGGACGGTCCTGATCGCGTCGGACAGAAATCCTGTATATGCACAACGCGCTGAGTCAGCGCTGACGCGGATGGCGGCGGCAAACCAGAGCGCGACATGTGGCATTTTCGGAACTGCCCACGATCCAGTCAGCGCGTGGGTTTAAGTAGAAAATTATGGGATTTAAAAAATTCAGAAAATACCCCTAAACTTCAAAAATTCATAACTTTTCATAGAAAACTCATAAAAATAAAATAAAAATACCCTCTTGCTCAGTGAACAGAGAAGAATCATGTGGAATTATTTTCATATTAATTTAATGCATAAATTATTTTTAAAAAAATACATTAGTGTTAGAGGTTTTTCAATTCTCCATCCATATTGGATTATCAGCTTGACCCCAAATTTTTATATGTTGTAGCCTCTGTCTAGGTGCACAATTTGAGTATTTTTTCAAAGATATAAAAGATCTCTAAACAGATATCTTAATTTTTTAAGGTTTTATGTATTTTCTATTCCAATAATTATAGAAAATTGTATGTGACTTCGAAAATTCTCCAAAAATTCATGAAAGTTTCGTATGGCTAGAGTAGTCTTAAGAAATAATTTCATGATTTTTAAGAATCAAAACATCACTGTTTTGAGCAAACTTCAATTTGCTTAAAACATTTAATTTGAAGCATACAGAGATTAAAATCACTTGATTTTTGTCCTCCATGTGGTTCATGAGTCAGAGAACTCACCATAAAAATTTCAA